ACCCAGGAATACTTGATTAACCAGAGGCAGGCACATAATGTTCATGGTATCTGAATAAAATTATGCAGAGCTCTAAAATATTCTGCCAGGTACCAGTCTTCAGAAACTGCTGGAGCTTAGTGAACTTGCTTGGCTACAGGGAGGAGGGCACCCATGCTCCAGGCTTCATGATGGATGTCTAGCTTGCTATTGCCATCACCCCGTGGTAAGCGCTGCCAATCATGAACTTGTTCAAGAAATTGTGTCACCTGGACCAAATCCAATTCCCTGGGTTGAATAAGAATGCTTCCCTAATGGTAAACTAACGCCATGTCTGTGTGCTGCCCTTTCCCCGCACACAAGCCTCCCTTGAGAGGTATCAGCAGAGGCTCAAGAAAGCCCATCCCCCTCAGTGAACCTGGCCTAGGCCAATTCCTTTTATCTTAAAAAATTCTATTTGGACAGAGTGAGTTTAAGCCGCCTCAGGGAATTCTAACCTTCTTCTAAAGGGTTTTAGGTCAAAGTACCGTGGTCCTCACTGGAATGGTCCCAACCAACACAGCCCCAGGGTTTACAGGTACCTTGCAACTGGGTGGCCAGGACAGCCATCACTCTCAGTGACCAAGGCTGCAAATACCTGCCTTTCATCTTTACCTAAAGAACTGGATTTCCCAAGAAGGTGACAAACCAGTTTTCTACTACAGTTTAACCCCATTCTGGCCAGCTCCTTTTTACCTTTTATGTCCTGCTTTAAGTATCCCCTCCTCAGCCATACCTTCCCCGAGCAGCCCTTTTAACTTCGGTTCCTCATAATTCTGTACCTTAGCCCCTTTTTTTTCACCTTCATAATAATTGTCTGCAGGTATTTTACGGCACTCTGCTTATTCCTCTCTTCTCTGTTTAGTTCAGCATTCAAAGCATAATGTCTTGCACACAGTTAAGTGTTGGACAAAATCTGAACTCACGCAATACTCCTAAACGCTGCACTGGGCCTCCTTGTATACGTTACAGCTGAGGATACTTTATGTCGAGTGATGAGACAGCTTGCAGGTGGTGGGCAGTGGTGGTACAACATCCCTGGACAGGGAGTCACGTCATCTCACCCTAACATGGCAGGCCTTCCAGGAGCAACCTCCATGATCACCCAAGTCCCCCGAAGGCTGTGTCAGTATCTCGCTGCATTCCCCCCACCAGCCCATGCTCCAAGTCACCCTGGGAGTGAAGGCCACCTGTCAGCCAGAGGCTGAACATCACTCCTACAGCAGAGACCCTACCTCTACCCCTTTCCCTCTCTGTACCACACAGCCTCCCAAATCCCCTCGTCTGTCAGAGCTCTAGTTCACAAAGGGCAGAATCAGGACCAGTGGTGGGTGATAGAATAAGAGTTTAGGCGACACATCGAAAGAACATTTTGTACTAGTTTTTTAACAGGAGCATAATGCAGACGGCAGGTGACTGACTGATGTGAGCACAAACTAGCCTGAAATCCAGCTAGAGGCTGAGCTGGCAGGAAAAGTCTCTTGACAAGACAGCAGAGATCTCAGGTAGCATAAAACATGTCCATGGTCTGACTTTCTTTGTATCTTCCATCTCAAGGGTATGAAGCATCTACTTAAGTATGTTTGCTACACTGAAGATAAAGAGTTTTACATATCTTGGCCTAAAAGTAGCTTCAAACAACAGGCTCATTCTATAAATACAAGAAAGAACTGCATTCTCAAAAACTAGTTATCTTGGGCTTCCCTGGTGGCGCAGTAGTTGAGAGTCCGCCTGCCGATGCAGGGGACGCGGGTTCGTGCCCTGGTCTGGGAAGATCCCATGTGCCACGGAGTGGCTAGGCCTGTGAGCCATGGCCGCTGAGCCTGTGCGTCTGGAGCCCGTGCTCCGCAACAGGAGAGGCCACAACAGTGAGAGGCCTGCGTACCGCAAAAAAAAAAACAAAAAACTAGTTTTCTTGCACAGCAGTCCTGCCCTCTGTTCTGCAGCCCCATTTAACTGGTTCATGCCTAACATACTTAAGGAGGCTCACATTTTACAACAAAATTTCATGCTGAGGGGATCACTGGGAAGTTAGTGGTGTGAGCACACAAGACTCCCCACTCCTGAGGTTTTCTTTTGATCCCAGTTAAGTGTGCAGGAACTCCTGCTGTGGAAATGCAAGAAACCCAAATCTTCCTTCTGCTCTGTGGCAGAAAGCTTTGAGGCTTTCACAGTACCTTTGTTTCTAAGAATCTGAAAGTGTGGAGCTAAAATTTCTTTTTCAGAAAATTCCAACCCTGCCTACAGGAAAGCTCCATGTCAGTGGCCTTGTTTGTTTTGCTCATCATTTTATGCCAGCACCTAGAGCTCAGTGCCTGGCACAGAGAACACACAATAAAAATGTGTGCAAGAAGGAAAAAAGGAAAAAAGCCAGAGTTTTGATTAGATTTCTTAATTTTCACCCCCAGGTGATATTTATCTTAAAGCATATACAGGCATACTTTGGAGATATTGTGAGTTCAGTTCCAGAGCATTGCAATAAAGCAAGTATCGCAATAAAGCCAGTCACACAAATTTTCTGGTTTCCCAGTGCACATAAAAGTTATGTTTACACTATACTGTACTCTATTAACTTTGAAGTAACATTATAACTAAAATAGAAAGTACATACCTTAATTTAAAAATACTGTTAAAAAATGCTGACCATCATCTGAGCCTTCAGCAAGTCATAGTAGTACCATCAAAGATCACTGATCACAGATCACCATAACAAATATAATAATACTAATGAAAAAGTTTGAAATATTTAGTGAATTACCAAAACATGACACAGAGACAAGAAGAGAGCAAATACTGTTGGAAAAATGGTGCCGATAGGCTTGCTCAATGCAAGGTTGCCACAAATGTTCAGTTTGTAAAAAGCGCAATATTTGAAAAGTACAATAAAGTGAAATGCAATAAAACGAAGTCTGCCTATGGTTCTGTCTTTGATCAGTAATGACATAATAATAGCTACCATCAAGGACTATCCTGACCCAATCAACCTAAGACCACCAGGGTTCAACCAAGTTTGACAAGAGTCAGTTTACTGACTCATTGCAATGAGGAAGCTGTCCCATGGCTCCTTGCCAACATTATCCCTAAGTCTCAGAGCAAGCCTGAAGGTTGTATAATTACCCTAATTTTACTCATCAAGAAATTAAAGTTCAGAGGAGTATCCTTCCTCAAAGTCACATGGCTAGAAACCCTTGTCCACCTAACCCTCTAACACCCTCACAGAGCAACTCAGAAGGCCCATGCCCCAGGCCTGTGACAAGCCCAACAAACGTTCCTCTAGACATTGTAAGCCATGAGTTTACAAACTTTTTTAACTATAGGAGGAAACTTTCCTTCAAATAAAATCTTACTAAAACCATAAACAAACAAGAAACATATATCTGAGGCACAGGATAATAACATCCTTCAGAACTGCTCTTAGCCATTGAAGCAAGGCAATGAGTGCTACTGTGCGCTTTTAAAATGTTTAATTCAACTTAACCAGACAGGCCATTTAGATCTACGCCTTCTTACTTTTCTCTATGCTCATATGTTGGACAGCTCCTTCAAAAAGTGGTAGGGCAAAACTGGCCATTTTACTCAGACAGTAATTATCTACCACTACACAGTTCTATAGCTCCAGCATTCCTGGCTGAAGGAACAGCAAAAGAAAAGAAAAGGAGGTTGGAACAGCAGAGAGTATTTGGTAAAAGGTATTTATATGAGGTGGCTGAAGCTACCCTCCACTGGTCTGGGGGAAGGTCAGGTCAGCAATGAACCAAGAAGCACTCTGTAAATGGCCTTTAGGCACACTAAGCACTGTGGACTTTTCTTTTCATGCAAAATTCAGTGGCAGAATGACATGATTAGATCACAAGTATGCCTAAGAACAGATGATTAATGTCTTAAAGGATTTTCTACATTCTACTTTTAATTCAAAAGTATACTATAGAGTGATATGAATAAAAAAACATTTGGCATATAATGTCACTGTTTATTTTAGAGAAATTAAGAGGCCTGAGACAGCAGAATAGGTTTTGCCACACTATTCAGATCTGCCTGTCAGGATCTGACATAGACATGATGTGAGAGAAAATCCATCTTTGCAAGGAACCTTCATAGACACACCTGTATGGACAACGGGTTGGCTAGAGCCCATGTCTAGGCTGAGAGATGAGCAGTGCATGGGAGCAAGCTCACGGCATGGGAGACACCGTCTGCTGGCTCCGGGGTCACCCCTAGCATCTGAGGTGCTCCCGGCAGGCTACTCAAGTGACTACCCCACAGGTGTATCAGGTGCTGTTGGCTGCTGATTCACCCCTCTGCCCTCCTTTTCCTAGCCACGTTCCAGCTGGCGGGGGTCTTATGATCCAGTTCTGGCCAGTGAGATGTAAGCAGAATTCAGGCAGCTGAGGGGCACTTCTGGGAAAGCTTTTGCCTTCCTGTTGAAAAGGGTCACTCTCAGCGGACAGACCACAGCCAGGGTGCCTGGAGGTCCAGCTCCCACCTTGAGATCAAACATGAGGATGACAACGTGCCAAGGAAGGTGGCACAAAGAAAGCGGAAGGAGCCTAGGTCCCCGGCAACATCTGTGAGCACTGCGTCAGCCCTGAACCATCCACCTCCAGACATCTTGTCATCAGAACAACAGAAATCTACAGTTATTTAAGTCAGTAGAGTTGGTTTTTTATTACCATCAGGCAAATGCATTCCTAATTGAGGTGACAGATTCTCTGGTGACTCTCTGAGATTTCTTTTACCTGAAAGTAAACAATTTCTACTGGAAGAAATGGGGTTTTCTCCTATCAGTCACTCCCCCCAACACACACTCAGAATTGCCTCACTAGAAAAATATAACTGCTATATACCTCACATGGTCCCAGAGCGGATTAAAGTAATGAACTGATAACTTTATGTCTTTAAAAGAGAAGAGTGTAAACACATGCCAGGTATAAGAATATAAAAACCCCAAGCTACAAAAATAACATATTTCAGTAGCACTCTACCTTAGAAATGTTACTTGAATGACTCATGGAATGTCCCAAAGTCTTCTCATGCTGCAAAAAACCAAACAGGTGTTAAGTATCAAGCTTTGATTAAAATGGGCAAACAAGTAATTGAACATAACAATCCTACTAACAAATCATTCCCTCAACTAGAATTTGCTGTGCACAAACTATTATGCACCAGGCCAGCTATGAGATACTAGAGAATTTAGCAAAGATGAATAAAACAATAGTCCTTGCCCTAAAGGAATTTATTAACAAGAAAAGAACAGGAATTTGAAACTAACTGTAAAAATAAGATGACAGTAATAAGTATCTTAAGAAGCATTCAAGTGGAGGTTCAGAAGCAAGAAGCTGCGTGTTCAGTTGTATACCATGTGGTCTATGCGATGAGGAGCTGCTATAAGATGTGGAAGGGGAAAGCAGGACAGATGACACCACCCAGGCTGTCTGGCTGCAAAGTGCTGGGTACTCTGCAGGGATACTGCACAGCTCACACCTACTCCCTCAAGCCTGTTTGTCCTCCTGAGTTAGAGAAATCTGAGAGTCCTGCTGGCTTCCTCCGTCTCACACTCCTCCACCTTCAAGTCACAAAGTCTTAAAAACAATTCTTCCTCCCTAATGTCTCTCAATCTCAAATCCCATCTCCATTTCTACTGTCAATGCCTTCGTTTATGTTCTCTTCATTTCTTCCTGTAATTCTACCTGCTCTTTCTGCTTTTAAATTGACCTCCCTGATACACAATTGTTACAGACTGAATTGTTAACCTCCCACCCCCAATTTATATGTTGAAGTCCTAACTCCCATTACTCACAATGTGACTACATTTGGAGGTGGTAATCGTTAACATTGTAACTATGTTACAATGAGGCCATTAGGCTGGGCCCTAATCCAATATGAATGGTGTCCTTAGAAGAAGAGGAAATTAGGACACAGATATACACAGAAGATGCAGGGAGAAGATGGCCATCTATCTACACATTAAGGAAAAGGGTCCACAGGAAAAACCAAACCTGCTGACACCTTGTTCTTGGACTTCTAGCCTCTAGAACTGTGAGGAAATAAATTCCTGTTGTTTAAACCACCCAGTCTGTGGTACTTTGTTATGGTAGCCCTAGCAAACGAATACAATAATATTCCACACTATAAACTTCCAAAAAAAGCAAATGTTCAAATGTAAATCTGATTTTTAAAAATAATAAAGTAACCTTCCCTGAATCCACTCAGCCTTGCTCTAAATCAAATGAGTTAAATAAAAAAACTACTACAAATGGAAGAGATGATCTTAACGTGTATTTTTAAAATTATTCTCTTTTTCAGTTCACACGCCATGCAATAACCATGGTGAAGATCAGAGAAGGTTGAGATGTAGGTAAAATTCTTTGATCAGAAGGAAGTACAAAGGAGCTGGTGGATCATTTAAAAACTCCTTTGAGGAAGAGCTGATTCCATTCCACCAAGGCTCTCCTTAAAGAGAGCTGGCCACCAAGAAAATTTTGACTTTCTCCTTCCCCTCAATCCACCAAGTCGCAGACTGCCTTGACTTCTGTACACGTGGCTCCTGAACATTTGATATGACTAAAATGATGATGAAGAAGTGTTTCAAGATCTCCCAAGTAGCCTGCAGTCAGCACGCGTTTTGGCAATGTTGTCTTCTTTGTCTTTATAGCAATGTGTTTGTGTAATTTTGGGAATAATTTTATTAAATTCTCCCTTACTTTATAAATCTGAGTAGGAATAGAAGTTCAAGTCTCTTAAATGTAATACAATACAGACAGTGTTTAGTCTCACAGAATGTTTCTTGGTCTTAAGTTCGTCAATTAGATAGTTACAAAGGAAAAGAAAAAATTATAAAGTGTGTTCAAGGTGTTGGCAGTATATCACCAAAATCTACCTCTCTGGGAAATGAGTCCCTCTGTCCACAGAAAAGGTAAATTTGTAATCATTCAAGTTTCATTCATGAGTCAAGAACGTATTAGGGACAAACATACGGCACTGCTGTGAAATCGGACTTAAAGGCTCATCTGCTGGCGATTTACTACTAAATTTTAATTTAGTCTACTAAATTAAAACAAAGATACCATATGCTTTGGATTATTTGTACAGAAAACCAATTATAACCACTATCAAATTACCTGCTACCTTACAAGAAATGGCCAGTTTAACACCGTCTGGAAATCTACAGAAAAGTTCTGAGCAGCAATAATTCACTTCCTAGACCTTCTGACATTCATCATTCCATAAAGAATGGTACTGAGTTAGGGAGAAGCCTAGCTGTTAAGCTAGGTAACATTATAAATCCAGACTGAGATCTAAAGGTTGCTCTTTACTTTATGAACTTGAGAAATAAATTTAATGATGTAAAGCCTTTATTCTGTCTTCCTTGTTAGAACAACTCAATATTTTACATGGTAAAATCAAACAGCCAGCCCCAGAAGATACAGATGTTTTAAAGGCTGAAAGCTGTCAATATTTGGTATTGCTTCTCCACTACTTGGTAGGAAATTAACAATTCAGTTTCAAAAGATCATATTTTTGGGTTTTTTTCCTTAAACACTGCTACATTTATTTGGACTTGCTGAAAAGAAGCAAATCCCAGGACTCGTTCAAGTCAGTTTCTCATTCATTCCATACTTATTTACTATGCAACTGCCATATACAAACAACTGTATCAGTCACAGAATATCTAATTCCTAGGCCTGTGCCAATGTTAACATTACCACAGAAGTGCCCTGAAATAGTGTTTCAATGAGGAATGTACATCTAGGGAAAAGGTGAAGAATGACGTAAAAAAAATCACATACATAAATTACATCAGGTAGAGTGGGTGACACCATTCTCTCCTACAGTCAGAATGTCAAGTTTCCGAATGAGAAGAAGGAAAGTTTGCCAAACATCAATGTTGAGAACTGGAATGAGGCATAACAAAGAGAAAAAGAGTTCCAATCCAGTTCAAGCTGAAATTAAGCTTCAATGCCTAAGTGATAAAAAACCCTGGCAGGGCCTCCCTGGTGGCGCAGTGGTTGAGAGTCCGCCTGCCGATGCAGGGGATACGGGTTCGTGCCCCGGTCCGGGAGGATCCCACATGCCGCGGAGCGGCTGGGCCCGTGAGCCATGGCTGCTGAGCTTGCGCGTCCGGCAACGGGAAAGGCCACGACAGTGAGAGGCCCACATATGGCAAAAAAAAAAAAAAAAAAAAAAAAAAACCCTGGCAAATTATCTTCACACAGTCTCTAATACGTTCCGTCACTGCTCAGTGGGTCCCAGCATCCTGTAACCCTGGGAGAGACGAGAGCCTCACTGCACCCTCCTTCCTCAGAGAGGGCATGGAGATGTCACACTGCTATACCACACACCTCCCCCCGTGTCTGGCTCTCATCTCCACATCTCTTTATGGACTCTTTTTGTCTACATTGAACAAGAAGCCTCCTCAGAACACAGCTCCATGCCCTCTTCTCACTTGTTGTCTCCCTTAGACCAGTCCTTCTGAAACTTTGTGCACTTGAATTACTTACGGATCTTGCTAAAATGCAGATTGTTAGGTCTGAGGTAGGTTGAGATTCTCTGTTTCTTATAAGCTCCCAGGTGACTCCCATGCCGCTGGTCCCCAGGCCACACTTTAAGATGCAAGTCTGATTCTAAATCCCAGGCCAGAATAATCCATAAAGGCTATGACTCATTTTTTATAAAGCAAATCATGACTACTGAAAAGGTAAATTTCTGTGTAAAAGATGGCAGTGAGCTCACAATTGAGTTAATACAAATAAGTCAGTCAGGGAACAGATTGGAATAAATAGATTGGAAAAAACTGAGTCAAGGTGTGAGAAAGGAAAGTTTTGTTAATGTAAAAAGTTACCAAACACAAAGATAAAGAGAAGCTCTGTTGAAAAATATGGGACATTTCACAATTTAATCAGTCCTGTCAATGATTTTGCAAGTCCATATGTGACTCCAATAAAATGTACCTTGCGGGTAGAGCCAAGATGCAGAGCCTACTGAGACCAAACATGCCCTGGAAAAAGCCAAGAATTAACAAGAAGACAATGAGGTGAGGTGTCTAAGCAAGTTTTGGGGACTCTGTATAAAGTAGTTAAACAAAAGAACTTCATGTGGCAGTTTCCCTGAAACTCTGAACATGACCAGTCAGTCATTACACACACACACACCAACTTATGTGTAACAGACATGGGTAACTGTCTACCCAATATCCATCACCACCAACAGAACTCCAACTTTATTCTGAGCAGCAACAGACCCAACCAAAAGTTCTCAATTTCTCACACTATTTTGCAACGAAGGGTAAATATGTAAGAAAGTTCTCTCTAAAGATATTGCCCTTGAGGGTTTCTGGGAAAACATTTTCCTTTCCTGAAACTGCTATTCCTTTCTCCAGCATTCCTCCTGCCCTCAGCCACCCTGGAATATATATGCCATGCCAGAAGGAACAGCAGTACCTTTGGTCTCAGGACTCCTTCACAACATAAAAAATTACCGAGGACTCCAAAAACCTTTTGTTTATGTGGGTTATATCTATTGATATTTACCATAGTAGAAATTAAAATGGACAATTTAAAAAATATGAATCTCTTAATTCATTTAGAATTAACAATAAAACAAATTAAAATAAATAACATTTCTATGAAAAACAACTATTTTTCCAAACAAACAACTAAAGTGAGCAGAGTAGCATGTTTTTACATTTTTATGAATCTTGTTATTGTCTAATTAATAGAAAACAGCTGGATTCTCGTATCTGCTTGTGCCTTCAATCTCCTCTAATATACTGTTTTGACTGAAGTAAATGAAGACTATTTGGCTTTATACAGTTACGTAGTTAGAAAAGGAATATGTATTTTAATAACCATGAAACAATTGTGGATATTATTCTTTGTACTACACAAAAACTCAACAGTTACCTGGCATTTAGATTCTGAAATGATATTAATGAACTTTTTTTTTTTTTTTTTTGCAGTACGCGGGCCTCTCACTGTTGTGGCCTCTCCTGTTGCGGAGCACAGGCTCCGGACGCGCAGACTCAGCGGCCATGGCT